TCTTGATATCCTAGCTTAAAGTGCGTCACAAGCTTTATCTCTGAAATTATACCGACGATTTGTGGACGAATTTCTTTACTGCCGTGAGCAGAAAAAGCCCGTGTCGAACAGTCGCTGCTTAAAACCTTATAATTATCATATTATTAAATTTCTTCTTACGTACCGTTTTTTGTGTCTACTCGCCACTGTTCCCGGTGCCGCTCAGTGGCCAATAAACTATTCACAGTAGAAGTCGTCTGAAGAATATCTCTTGCTTTAAAGTGGACTGGCCTAAACTCTTCGTCGTAGGCTCTCGGAAACGAACACTTCATAGACAGTTACTCAGTATATTTGATGAACCGGATAGATTACGCATTGTGCCCTTAGCCACGCGGAGAAGTAAACATCCGATCAAACAAGAGCTATATTTTGTTCTACGGGCACGATACTCCTACACGTAGTGTCTATATTTATGCACGCAGGGTAGAAGACAAAAGAAGCCTCTAAGCAAAAAGGGTCCGACGTAGAAAAATTGAACTACTGAATCGTCGCTGACTAGCCAAACGCGGTAATTAAATGTAGACTTGACTCCTGATTCGTTCTCCATCCGCTTTGTTACACTTTGCGGTAAACACTTTGCTGTGTAATTTCTACGCTGAGCCAACACCGTCGGTGTGCGTAATGGCGCCTGAGCACAATTGAGCGCATTGTTTACTCGTAGAGCCGATCAGAGTAATTGATCGATCGACGGATTGTGTACTGAACTGATGTGACACTAAAAAAGGCAAAACTACTCTGTATACTGCGTCCGGCCATGACTGTGTCAGTGGATGGTCCTACGCAGTACCTTTCTCTGGAAATCGTCAGATTATCTGAATTCAGTTCGAATTAAGGAGCTACGAAGAAAAGTTGCAATGCTTCTTTTCCAGACGGCTGACTCGCTACTCGAAAGCTGCTGAGAATTGAAAATAACGTCACTACGTCGTAACTTGCTTGGCCCTGTTCAATACGTGGCCGGCGAACAACGTCATCACCAAAAGTTTGCCATCGATAGAAACGTAGCTAGCTACAATTGGGTAAATGTATGAGTATGTCTGACCTCGTCACTGCCCAATATATTATACGGAATAATGTATCTGAACTAATGGCTCGAAGAAATGTAGCAACTTGGCGGTAAAGGGTAGCTATGCGTGCAGTTACTTCGACCCCCTTCTGCTAAAAAAAACTGGTATAACACCATCAGCCAGTACATTTATCAGTATTAGTCTGGACACGAAAGCCTCTACTGTGTCGTCGTGCCTTACGTGCTGTGCACGCATTCCATAATTATTACAATAATCATTTACTATTACCATACACGCGCTATTTAGAAGCTAGATAGAGGCAAGATAGGCAATATGGGCGGATTGACGCTCACACAGGCTGTATCGTCGCGTCTACTTTTAACAGTCCTCGAAATACGACCTGGCCATTAAAAAATTCAATTCTTTTTCGTGAGATTTTATCCACCGTTATGTCGCAACGTCATCGTTATGTACGAACGTAAAGGTGTTCCCACACAAGCTGTTTGAAGCAGGTTCTGTTTACGACAAGTTGATCGAATCCGTAAATTGATCCTAGCTGAATTGAGCCTGAGCTGGCCCCTTCGATGCCCAATGAGTGGTAGTCTGTAAATTATCTGGGTATTCCCTGGCATTTCCTCGATTTACATACTAATGACTAACGCTCTGCAGGTGTTGGATAGTTGAAATTCTCATGTCCGGATCTATTACACTGCGTAATATTTGCGTACGCAGCCATTTATCTACTACCTGATCACAAGTCCAACACGTTAATGACTCGAGAGTGTCGATGCCATCTTCGAACAGTCACGCTAGTTGATATTATCACAAGCGTTATCAACGCCAGTAGTGATATGAATCGTACATGATAACAGCGTGATTTTTCCAATCGATAATTTCGTCCCCTTTTCGTGACGCTACGCAGTGAAAACTGATGATCAGCTAAACGCGTCTGTGGTCTTGAGTGGCTAACGCCTCCACCAACCCCGTCATAGATTGTTACCATCATCGATCAATCCTTTCCATTTCTAATGAGCGTACGCTGCCTTAACGGGCCAGTCCGCGAACACGCTATATGGCCTGGGTGCACGAAATGTCCCAAAAAATCGTTATTTATCAATACTTACAAAAAATACGGCAATGGCCAGACTGTTCATTGTTGACTTTTGACCGTTTGCTTGGCCGTGTAGCCGTCCTACTCAGCGCAGTGTTGCTTCGATGAAGGGACTTGGCGCCCGACGAGACGTTTTTCGAATGGTATAGAATATGCGGTGTGACACGATGTGTCATTGTGACGTCTCCGCCAGCGCTATAACAGTACGCGCAACTGCAGGTGCGACCTATCTCGTGACCCAATCGATTCCGTAACGATTTGCCCGTAGCTAATAAAAGGAGAACACGAAGAGACGCGCTTTGAGAATGCTATTTACCATCCAGCTACGGTGCCAGGTGCACAGTTTGTCCGCCCGTCACGATTGAACGTTGCCGCTAGAACGGTATATCTCTATTTCGATGCGAATCCTATACTTGTACGCCGTCAACCTATTGACGGTAACCATTATTGTTGATATTATAGTCTAGTAGGTGATTTGTCATTGAAGCGACATCATCTGTTCGAGTTGTCCTGAGAAGACTGTCCAGTAGCGAAGAAACAAAATGATTAAAACAGATCTACAATTGACGACGAAGAACAGCCCTGTTGCATTAGAGATGGGTGGCACGTTTTATAGATTCATTCGCACGCGTTTCCATTCATTAACATTTCCCCCTAATGACCGCCAGTAGTAGAGTTGTCTAATTGATAAATGTATTGAAATTTTACCGCACGAACATTAATCATCACCTGTATTCGATGCAGTCTATCGCTACTTCTCGGCGGGTAGATTGGCGAAGTCGATTGCTCTGTCCCTGATACATGGCGTAATCGCTCTTTGATAGCGTGTTACCCGATTCGACGTATCTCATGTACGTCGGCTTTTCGATAATCTCCACATATGATATGGCCTTTTCGTAGATTGCTTCTGGTCAGAGTATTGCACTTCTGAAACTGTGTACTGAAAAAAAAAGTGCTTTGTTAGATTTTCTTCTTTTCGATATAGGGATTGTGGCCAAGACAACGGTGCTTAACGTCAATAGAGTCTTGAATTAACTGACCCATTAGAATATGCCCAGTTCTGTTGAACGATCGGGCTCGTTTATACGGCGACTCACCAACCAAAATGATAAAGGCACTGTTTTTTTTTTTTTTTTTTGTTTTTCATCTTCACGATGTATTTTGCGTTTAGTCTATCTGAAGCCTAAAGCAAAATAGTTCGAACTATACCGAGCGTTTTAAAAAGTAAATTTCGCAACAACTGCCGATAAATTCGATCCTTAGTCATACTGAACAGACAACACTGCGGGTATAGGGGACGCCACCGCAATTGCGGGCGATTCTAATCTGATAAACAATCTCATCAACGCTATTTAGAAATCGATCGGGATTTAATGCGTTGTCCAAAAATAGATACAACTGTTCGGTATCCTGTACACACAACAGTCAGTGTTATAATGAATCATAAAAAATCGTGTTTACGATATGGGGGACGGGGGGGGGGATACGTTCCCTGGATTATCGAGATTATACGGTCATTTGTTGATGGCAGGAAAATTAAAGAAAGCCTGTCGTGCTTCGCAGAAGAAGATTTTCCTCAGCTAAGGAAAAAATCATTTGAAGCTCAAAACTATATATTTATTCTTGCTTTTATAGACGAGAAGTTGATGGCACAGTGGCGAGCACGATACCACCTCACATATGAGGCGAAGCAGTTGAAATCAAATTAGAAGCGCCACCTTAATCTACATGGAATCTACACTTCTGATATTTGACTGATTGGCATTGAAACAGTTTACTTGACCCATTTGCATTGTTTACTCCTTGGTCACAATAATGCCAGAGGGACACGGCATAAGTTTCGTTGAAACCTTAAACCCTATAGGATTTTTTTTACTATGCTACAGGCGGTTCAAAGCAGATTCCCATTTAGATTCCACAGGTCGTATTCTATCGTACGGTGCATTCAGCTTAAAGAAATAATGAATGCTTTCTGGCATATAGGAAAGCAAAACACACCTGACACTTGTACACTAAATAATGTTTTACAGGTTACTGCAAGATATGTAAAAGTTGTTGATGTGTTCTTCTACAATAGTATAAAGCCATATATCAAAAGTGTTTATGAAAGTTGAAGAACTTTAGCTTCGTGCGTTCTGCATCGGCTGGGTGTAGTTCCAACCTATTAACATGTGTTAAAAAAGATGAGTCAACAGGTTTATTCCAAAACCTGGGGGTTTAGTAAGTCGAGGCTGTTTCCATCCACGGCTATTCACACAGAGTTTGGCCCGTACTTAGAAGATGGTTTACCACATCCTGCTGATGCCCCACATGTGCAAAAATATCTCGTTGTCTGTTTACAAACAAAAAACACTGGCAAGTATCTCTAGTAGACATATGTTTTCAGCCTGCTTGGCCTATGATACCATGTTACATACCGTCCTTCTTGCGTCATGTCAACGTAGCGTTGTCTGTTTGCTGTTGGCCATTAAGCTTGCACCCGAAGCGATAAATAGATGTCTCTTGTATACGCTCGAAGAGAAGTGGCGATGGCGAAAAAAAACATACATGACTTTTTCTTCTTTTTGTTCATATATAATAACGCCGTTTTTATCAGATGGCTGATTTTATGCAGTTACACAAGATCTCCAGGAAAAACATCTACTAAATTTTAATTGTCCCCATATAAAAACAATGACAATAAAGTTGTCTATTTCCTTCATTGCTGTTAACCTTGCGTTGTATTTTATTATGGGCTTCATATTAATTTGACAATATGAAAACTGGTCGTGATATCTCAATTATGTACACAAAACTGATCTCACTCATAATTAACATGCTTTGTCATTTTCAATCTGTCATTTCAGATTAAACATTTTGGATGCATGAGGATGAAGACACCGGGCTACCGGCCGCTAACCGGAGGCGGTCCCGACAGTGAAGAGTCGTTATGCCGCTTGTCTTACCTGTATAAATTGTTGTTTCTTCTCGTTATGGCCGTACTCTTTGTACAGTATTCGAGCAATGTCTTGATGGTTCGATCGCCACAGGTGTCGTGGGTAGTGTCAGAGGTTGTCTATAACGTTAAGCCCACAGAGCCCAACAATAGCTCGCGCGGAACGGCTTCCACTGGCAATGAGACATCCCCTTTGTCCAATCAAAGCCGGATCAAAAATGAAACATGCGCAATTCTTTGGCAACACCTTAACAATAGGAATTCGACCTTGTGTTCAAATGAGACGGTCACACGAAGATGTCCTTTGATTCCGCCACGACTAGTCGGACCCATGAAAGTGTTTACAGACAACATCTCCTTTGAGGACCTCGAGGCGTTACATCAGGACGTCGAATTGGGCGGCAAGCACCGGCCTAGCGAATGTATAGCCCGCTATAAGGTTGCCATCATTGTGCCATACCGCGAACGGGAGGAGCACCTTCGTAAGCTTCTACACAATTTGCATCCGATGCTGAAACGACAACAGCTTGACTATGAGATTTTCGTTGTGGAGCAAAATGGCATGTACCGGTTCAACCGGGCAAAACTTATGAACATTGGCTTCCTTGAGGCGAGCAAGCTGAACGATTTTGAATGCTTCATTTTCCATGACGTCGATCTCATACCAGAGGACGATCGAAATCTCTATTCGTGTCCTGACCAGCCGCGTCACATGTCCGTAGCTGTGAGCACAATGAAATATAAGCTTCCATACGCGAATATATTTGGTGGAGTGTCGGCCCTCTCGAAAAAAGATATGCGAACGGTCAACGGCTTCTCGAACGAATTCTGGGGTTGGGGCGGGGAGGATGACGACATGTCCGCGCGAATCCGCTATCACAAACTCAAGATCACTCGGTATCCAGCTAGCATTGCGAGGTACAAGATGCTCAGTCACAAGAAGGACACACCCAACCCCGAACGGTATCGCTACCTTAAACGAGGCCGATTACGCTATCGGACTGACGGTATCAACAGTTGCAAGTACAGGGTGCTCAATATTGTTTTTAAGAAGCTCTACACGTGGATTCTGGTCGATGCATTGCCGCCACAAAAGAAAACGAAGTGATGTATCACACCGAAGTTTATGACTAGGGGAATCAGCCGGACAGCTGAATGGCAGAAGGAACACTGACCAACTGGACTTTGCCAAACTACGAAGAACGCCCATTCGAGCGTCCTTCGTAGTTTGGCAAAGCACCTGTTGGTCGTAATCTCACGAGGCTCGCAACCTCGCCAAAGTAGTATCGTCACAGCAGACACGATAGTGTCTTTCGTTTGCTCGAGGACTTGGTTACGGCCAATGGGCCATCGAGTCCTAACTACTGAAATCGCTTTCAATTACTGTGCATAACTGAGAATTACTTAATCATAAGCAATAATACCATGTTGGTTGTGTTCTGCCAGCCAGATAAGAGCAAAATGCTGCTACAACAAAGAAGAGATGCCATAATGCGTTGGTCCAAATGATAAATAATGTAATACAAGAATTGATACGAAGTCACGTTTATTATTATTAATAAGATTATTGTTTTTATTCTTATTGAGCGTATTGTAAATGCTCGCAGGAAGGGCACAAAAATAGTGACTTTTTTATGTGGTGGCCGGCATTCGCTGGTCCAGCAGTACGCATCTACTCAATACACACTTATGAGGGTTGAAGAGGTAACCGACGGAGCCAATATGAACTTTTATGACTCCTCATTAATATGGCGAGCTCTTCAAAATTAAACAAAAACCGAGACATGTACATTTCAGCCGATCTGCTTCGCGTTACGTTAAATTTGCCTAGACTGTTTCTTTTTTGCTCTATCAGGAATCGGTAGAGTGCTAACTATTGTATACGGGTCTTAAAACTAGGGTAATTTTTACTGTCCTTATACCTGAGTGAGGTTCCCAACTGTGTGCAATGATTAGGTTCTGATTATTGCCGACCCCTTCGTACTGTACTCAAATAGACCGTGATTTATTTTAAAGAAAAATATCGGATCGGAGATGATGCACCCTTGTTTATGTTAGCTGAGTTATTTACCATTTGAAACTTTGAGGTAGGACTCGCTGTTGGTCATTGCCACTTTGTATATTGCAAATGGAATATACGAGAACTCATGCCTTATTCGAAGGCTCGTGTGGCAGAAAAGTTTACATAAAAAACGTTTTTAATTTATTTTACAGTATGTCACTGCGTACCCACATACTCGCCTTTAGTTGACAGTTTCCGCCGAGACGTCTCCTTTTAGAATTAAAAACAATTTCACAGAAACTGTTCAGGGAATGTTATTATGACTTAGACATTCGTATCTCTCGTCAAACATCATCATGACGTCGGGCAGTGTTCGGTATGTAAAATTCATGCTGTACAAATCATTTATGTGAGCAACAATCATATAGAATATAAAATACATCGTTAAAAAATATGGGGTTCTACGTATTGTCAGCACAACATGTGCCGACCAATTTCCATAACGTTAGTAACAGCATAACGCATCGGATGATCAGCTCTCGCTTCTGCGGTAGCGACCAAAGTGAGACGTATCTGTTCACCCGTGAGAGAAAAAATAAGATAGGTAAGAACAGTGGACAACACGAAATGCTATAGGGCAGTCATTATCTTTGTGAATCAATGCATGTAGGAATCGATTGCGTACGGAAGACTCCTGTATTCCACTCAGCATATCTGCTTGATTCTTATATGCGTCAATTGGCATGTATCACTAGTCTCGGCCACTACGAGCCACGCTTGCGCCTACAACAAAAATAAGGGACAATTGTAACCTAACAGCTTAACAATACAGTTAAATCAGATTCCGAAAGTGCCTGTTTCGACAACTTTTAGGACTTCGTCCTGTGATAGTTAGACAACTATACTGAAATCCACACAAATTTTGCTATAATCTACGGCATTGCACGAAAAGCAAACATAAATAAACACATATAGTAGGAGATAGTAGAGCTGAAAGGTATGGAAATCAATATGAATGTATTTCGTTGACGGCTAATTACGTTAAAGTACGCTCCAATGAATCATACGGAGTAAACATTGCGTTTCGTATTAGGGCTGTCTTAGATAATATCTCTTTTGATGAAGCAGGCAGCGTGTTTGTTAGGCTGTCGATCCCTTATGAATAGAGCAGTCCTGATAGACGCAAAATCTTTTTTGTGCAGTAATTATTGTTAAAAAAAATATCTCTCTGAAAATAACATCATGTTAGAAACAGAATAGAATCCGTCTGTCTTTTTAAGTTTAGTTTTCGATAGTTGTTTTTACGCAGCGTTACGCAGACATCTAGGAAATCCCAAAATACGCGTATAACACAAGCTGACTTATCACATGATTGATAAGGCGCACGGTTCTTCATGACACCTACAGACACAGATTTTTCTAAAAACGATGACCCAGCTTCAGGGCAAGTCATCGAAAAATGTAGATGGAATCAACGTTTATTATTTTTATTGTACTTTGCAAATCTTTCAATAGGACTATTCGGTACTACTATTAAGGAAATTGGCCAAACGAAAATCAGGCCAAATGGCCGTCAAGTGTTTCTTTCGTCTAGTCATTATAGAAACCAATTTTCGTTCGTGTTACTTCATACCGTTAAGGTACGTTTGTTCGAAATGAAAATAAATGGGAAGTAGAAGACAGCGTTGTGTAGAGTAACTACAGAGTGTTACATGTGGGCATTGAAAGATTTAAGCTAGTGGGTATAGCCTCTAGTGGACAAAGCTTATTCAGTGCGTCCCAATTCTGTACCGCCTGCAGTGAGCGTTGTCAAGTTGCTCTAAAATCGCTGATCGATGACAGAATTTTTGCCCACTAGATCTACAAACACTGATATATTTTTAGAAAAAAAAAACATATATACATGTAAGTGTACCGGGAGAGAAAGGAACAAGCATGTAGTATGTCAATAAAGCTAAAATATATATATATATATATATATATATATACATATGTGTGTATACAGTAATAGTCTACTGTGAGAGAATTTTCATCGTTAATGCTGTTTTTTGTATACGAATAACGCGCATCATACTTTCGTTGAAGTATATCAAGTTCATAGTGAATCGTAGAGAAACGTAAGCAAAAAGAATCATGCCATATGGTCTTGAAGGAGGCTATGAGGAGAATGAAGAGTGCGGGAGGCAGGTCGAAGTGAGAGATGTAGCACGATGAAAGCTTACGAAACTCGTAGTGAAAGAGGTGATGGCCAGTTGGATGATGAAACAGTTATAGCTATAGGTAAACTATAGTGGTTCGTCCATCTTCGATGTCACATAAAATGATCGAACTTTGCCTAAGAATACCGCCCACCATTTTTAAAAGTACGGGCGGTCTATTCGAGGACAATGAGCAAAGAGCTAGCAAAGAACAACAGCACCCGGTTTACAGAATTGGTAGGAACGAAATAACGACATTTATGGTTGAAAACTATTACATCGGCATAGCAAGTCATGCAAAAGGTAGGGTAATTCAAACAAACATTATCTACGAATGAACAGATGCTGTATATAT